AAAAGCATGATTATATTTGGTGGTACGATTATGTTTCGTGATATGATTATATTTGGTGATATGATATGTTGTTCATCTTATTTATATATATATATATATATATATATATATAATTGTTGTATTAATAATTGACACAAATTAAATTAATGTGCTAATCATCCAATTATAAAACTAGGAATGAGTAAAGAAAAGTAAATGAAATGAAACAAATTATATATGTGATTTAAGTGATATAATCCTAATCCTAAACTCTTATTTATACATAATTATATATGTATGCGGGCCTAACGGGCCGGGCTTTTGTGGGCAGGCCGGGCCGGGCTTTCTTGGGCCTAATCGGGCCGGGCCTATGGGTCGGGCCGGGCTTCAAACACTCAAGCCCAAGTTCAGCCCGGCCCAAAGCGGGCCGGGCCATCTCAAAGCCCATAACGGGCCGAGCCGGGCTTTTTTTCGATGGGCCGGGCGGGCCCCCATCGGCCCATGAGCCCGCGGACCAAATGATGAGGCCTAACCCAGCATTATATTATATATTTTCTGCTACTTTCCGTTCTAAGCAAATTTTTATTCCAAAACATTATTTTTTTATTCCTAACGTGCAATTTTTTGTTCTAAGCATTATAACAAATTAAAAAAAATACTCGTGAGTCATGCGTGCGTGCGGCGTGCTCTCCTTGCTATTCCCAAATTGCTTTTCTTTCATTTAGCCCCAAATTCACTTCTTCCCAACTTCTACTTGACTCTCCCGTCCAAAAAAAATTCTTATTTACTCTTTGGCAAGGCAAAAAGCCTGCTATGCGTGCTCCTCCACCACACCTCTCTCTCTCTCATATCAGAATTTATAAATTATGTGATGTATTTGGAATTAGTCATCATATGATTGCAAGAAACCTAATAAATCAGGTTAATCTCTATCCTTAAAAAAAATTGAAAAATTATTATTTTACTTATACATATAGGGCCTCATCATCAGCTCTTTTTGCAAAAGGGCACCATATCTAATGGCTCTGAAGGAAAGAAGTGTGAAATTCTAGCGGAACATTTCAAATTATAGAAAGCTACTGAATCTCACAACTTGGGCTCTTGTCCCTTTCTTCAAGGTTTTTCTTTCCTTAAACAAAAAACAAAAAACAATGGACGATTGTAAATGATTGTATATTGTTGGGCTGTTATGAACCTAGCCAACATTATGCATCAAAGAATTCTTGCAAGTGTTTCCTTCCTGCCTATAGTGGCGGCTGTGACTCACAGCAGACATAAAATGATGCAATACAAACGAACCGTGTATATAAAACAATAGTTTTAAGCCTACCGGCTTGAAGATAACATGCAATTGGGCGACCCAAGTGGTGCCATTCAATCAAATTTAGTCACTTGGAATATTCATCTTCGTTTGTCTTCACTCTTCTTCACATTATTTGACTCCGTCTCGGCTCTAGGCTTCTACCAACTACATGTCTGCATATGGTGGGGCATCGAAGTTGAGTTTTTAACTTCACGATTTAACACTTTCCAAGAGACGAGTTTGAGTCTCTGCATTCTGGCTCTGAGATTGAAGAACCAAAAACAAGAAGAAGAAGAAGAAAAACAGAGTCATGGGGAAGGTTCCAGCACTACCAATAGTTGGGATGGTGTTGGCTGAGAGTGCACAAGCTGGGCTAATTATAGTGAGCAAAGTAGCCATGTCTAATGGCATGAGCAACCTCATCTTTCTCTGCTACTCAAACGCTCTTGCAGCCCTTATCCTCCTCCCAATTTCCTTAGCCTTCCACAGGTGATTGAATCTTACTCTTTGTGAACTACCCAGAAACCAAAGATTTTGTTTTTACTATAATTTCCTACTTTGATCACAAAAGTAATTCCTTTCGTTGCTCTTATGTTCTTGGTAGATCCGAGCGTCCTCCTCTCACTTTCTCTACCCTCTGTTGGTTCTTCTTGCTTGGTCTAATTGGGTAAGTTACGATTTTCATCTATAATAAAATCCCACATAGGAAATTAAAGGTTGCATTTTGGGGGTGGTATTGTGTGCACATTTGACGCTTTTAATTCGTTGGAGTGTTTTAGCGGATTCTGTTTAGTGGGTTTGATTGATATTAGCGTTTTGCAGATTCATGGCGCAGTTTTTTGGGTATGCTGGGATTAATTTGAGCTCTCCTACTCTGAGCACGGCTATGCTCAACCTCATTCCAGCTTTTACCTTTATACTGGCAGTCATCTTCAGGTCATGCCCTCCTCTTATTTACTCACACTGCAAATTGTGACCACCCTCTATGATTACCTATTTCACTTTTGCCTTCAATGGACTTAAGAATCCTTGTTTTTCCTTTATTCTGAACTATGATCTATCATAATTGTCTTATTTTGTTAATGAATCCTGAACCTTAGTTTTTTTTTTCTTGTGATGTATCCGTGAGGACCATGACATTGCTTTACCTGTTCTGTTTCTAGAGGTCTCTGTAGAAGAACCATGTAAATAGTTCAATTATCTTGCTTTCTTGTTTCCAATGAGAATTTCAGCAGATGAACTTTTCTCTCATTCCAGATAAGAGTTGTACAGTGTAATTTTGAGACACTGGTAGACTTGTAATCTTTGACTGTCACCTGTTTCTAAATTCATTCAACTGGGTGATTTCAGAATGGAAAGAATTGATGGGAGAAGCTCCAGTAGCCTTGCTAAAATCTTGGGAACAATAGTTTCAATTTCAGGGGCTTTCATTGTTACTCTTTACAAGGGCCCCCCACTTCTGATGACATCCTCAACTGATATATTGTCTCATAACCAACTTTTCTTGGAACAATCAAACTGGGTCCTTGGAGGAATGTGTATTGCGCTTAATTGTGTGTTGACCTCATCTTGGCTTATAGTACAGGTGAAATCTGTAAAATTTAATTAAAACTGTCGTGAAAGTGTGGAGTTTGGTTAGAAAATTAAGACTAGTTACTATTCCTTGTCTATGTTTCAGGCATCAGTTCTAGAGAAATACCCCGCAGAGCTGATTATGGTATTTTATTATTGCTTCTTTGTGGCTATTCAATCTGTAGTAGTCTCTTTGACTGTAGAAAGAGACCTAAGTGCGTGGGAATTGAAGCCTAAAATCAGGTTGATCGCTGTTCTATACTCGGTAATTAGATAACCAAATCCAAACCATGTCTATACCTATTGCATTGAAATATTTTCTCAAACATCAACCTACGATGCTCAAACTTTAGATTCTACTCTTGCAGGGAGTCTTTGGCTCAGCATTCCAGGTTGGTGTATGTACTTGGTGCCTTCACAGGACAGGGCCTGTTTTTGTAGCTATGTTCAAGCCTTTGGGGATTGTCATTACAGTTTTCGTTGGTGTCACCTTCTTAGGAGATACTTTCTACCTTGGAAGGTACGGTTTTATCATTTTTTTCCCCCATAAATACCATATCAAAATGCCGACTTTGGAGCAGCACCAGTTTTGTTCCTGTTGAAAAATCCTAAAGGGCATTAATTCAACATCTTAGTTTACATTTTCTGAATGCTGCAGTTTGATAGGAGCAATTGTTATTGTCATTGGATTTTATTCTGTGATGTGGGGAAAAGCAAAAGAAGAGAAGATGGATGATGATGCAGGGGCAAGGAGTGTGGCATCAAGTAAACAACGGGCCCCTTTATTGCAGAGCCATATTGAAGAAATATAGAAGTTTCTTTGCAGTACATCGCCCTGTGAGGTCTCTCTTGCCAAAAAACATGGGTACTCTGTTGCTTTTGTCTTAGTTCTTTTAAAATGCTACCCTTTCCATCATTTTTGAAAACTGGGATTGGTTATCGTGGGAGTTGTTTTGCTCAGGCCATGCTTCTACTCTTTTTTCTTTTTCCTGGAAGATGGTAATCCTGCATACATCCAAAGGCAGTTTGTTGGTGCAAACTGAGCATAGTTGCAAGTTTGCTGTAAAGGTACAAATACCATGAGAAGTATGTTGTGCTCATTGATACTAAATGTTATGATGCATCTGTTTCATTTTAAATAATGTCCAAGAGAGAGTAGAAATTTCAAAAGACGATTCAAGTTGGATTGGCTGGCACTATCTGGCTCCTCATTGCATGAGGAGGCAGTTTTATTGGCTTGCCATTAATGAACCTTTCGAACTACTAAAGCGTTTGTAATTCATTTGTAGAGTTTCTCTGTATTTTATATTGTCAATGCACTTGTAGTTATACTTTTAATTGATGATTATCTTGTCTACTTTCCAATGAGGATATGGAGACTTATGTTTGATGTTTTCCTGCACATATGTATTCTTTTTAAGAAACTTTGTTTGTTAGTTTTGGTAGTTATTTTCCATGTAATGTAGGGTCATGAACATGTGGAGCATGATCAAAGATATCAGCAGCATGAGTTGAATATTGAGTTTGCAGGGTCAAAGCTGCCTCAAGAGCAACATGTCAGTGAGGAGCAGCTCCTTTGCTTGGAAGTGAAATCTACTCTTTCTCTTTGGTTTTTAGATGTATGATATCCTTCATTACTTGTCGTAAATAAGGTAATAATGTTGGAATCAGGCATTGTGGGGAGAAAATGATGGCAAAGGCCAAAGTACTTGAACATATTTTCAACTGTGTAATCAAATACAATATAAGAATCTTATAATCATATATCAAGAGCTTTCATACATCCAATACTGGGTGAGTTAAAATTGAAATGCTGGCTCATTTGGGCAGATGAACATATTCACTGAAACAGGAATTTCATCCCTGAAATTTGCTAATAGCAACAAAAGCTGGCATGAAATTCCATCCAAAGCAGCACAAAAACTTGCCTAAGAAGCTATGAAGTAATACTATAAACTGGTAAGGTGGTTGAAGATGTTACCGGAAAATCCCAAGTAAGACAGAGCTTTCATTTGCATCCTTTGGTTATAAATTATTTAACTGCAAACATAATTTCTAGCTTTGAAAAAAAGTCATAAGCCCACAAACAACATATTAGTAATAGAGTTGCTCAGTTGGCGAGCACTAAAAACAAGTATTAGAGTGAGGGCCGAATGAATGGCAAACATGTAGCCAAGTTTAGGCCAAAAACGAAAGCAACATGTACAAGAAACCTTTGCCCCACAAAGGTCAGCCTCCTTCGCTGCCATTAATAATAATTTGAAATGTATAATATATCCGAGTAGCTACTTCTCCTTTTCAAGTAGCTGCTTTATTTTCCCAAGGGTTGCCCTCCCTCTCCCTCTTTTATTGTTGCTCCATAAATGTATAGAGAAAGAGAATCAAAACATAGACAGAGTCTTCTTCTTCTGCTGCTGCTGCTTGTTCTTGTTCTTCCTTTCTTCTTACATATCATGTACATACATGCAAATTAAGAGAAGTGATCACAAGTGATGTGGATGAGAAGTGTTCAGCTATGGGAAGCGCTTCCGTTTTCAGTTATGGTGACAATGGAAGGTTGTACCATAATATTAACCATTTGGGCAAAAACTGTCATGACAGTTGATGGCATGAGCCCTTTTGTATTTGTCGTCTACACCCACGCCCTTTCCTCTCTCATGCTCCTCCTCTACTCTTTCATCTTTCACTGCCCCAGGTTCTCTTTCTTTCTACCTCTCTCTCTCTCTCTCTCTCTCTCTCTCTCTCTCTCTCAAACACACACACACACTCTCTCTCTCTCTCTCTCTCTCTCTCTCTCTCTCTCTCTCTCTCTCTCTCTCTCTCTCTCTCTCTCTCTCTCTCTCTCTCTCTCTCTCTCTCTCTCTCTCTCTCTCTCTCTCTCTCTCTCTCTCTCTCTCTCTCTCTCTCTCTCTCTCTCTCTCTCTCTCTCTCTCTCTCTCTCTCTCTCTCTCTCTCTCTCTCTCTCTCTCTCTCTCTCTCTCTCTCTCTCTCTCTCTCTCTCTCTCTCTCTCTCTCTCTCTCTCTCTCTCTCTCTCTCTCTCTCTCTCTCTCTCTCTCTCTCTCTCTCTCTCTCTCTCTCTCTCTCTCTCTCTCTCTCTCTCTCTCTCTCTCTCTCTCTCTCTCTCTCTCTCTCTCTCTCTCTCTCTCTCTCTCTCTCTCTCTCTCTCTCTCTCTCTCTCTCTCTCTCTCTCTCTCTCTCTCTCTCTCTCTCTCAAACACACACAAACACATACTTGGTTTGTAACTTGTTCTTCTTTTTCTCGTGAATTTACTGCAGAAACAGAGGCAGAAGAGAACAGTCACTCTTCAGCTTGAATCTGTTCGTGCGATGCTTCTTCTTGGGTTTAACAGGGTCGGTTTGTACTTCTCATTTCATCTCATCTCATCTCATAGGCTTTTACGTTACATAAACTTTAAACACCTATGCCTCCTCCCTCTCCCTCTCCCAAGGGAAAAGGATACCATTCACCCTGAATCCATGGATTCTCGAGTTGACCCCAACAACAAGCCTCAGAATATTCTGCTATAGTATGGTGGTGGTGGGCCTAGTCTCTGTTAGTTGAAGGGCAACATTGTAAATTGCCAATACGTTCATCAATTTTTGGGTTATATAATATTCAACAAATATTTCATTTTAAGTATTTTGTTTTTTTACAAATTGATATTCTAAACTACTCTAATATAATAGGAGGGGAATCAAGCTTGGATACAAAATGACATGCACACTGCCTTAACTACGTGGGTTAACACCCCAATATCATCATTAATACCAATTTTAGCCTAGTTTCAAAAATAAATAAATTCTCAAATTTTTGCCTACTCTTCTTTTCTTCTTCTTATTCTTTGTTTTTTTTTTTTTTTTTTTTTTTTACTCAATCCCCATTTACTCATTTTAAAAAAAAATACAAATAAATTTCCTCCCCTGAATCTCCTGGCCTAGAAAACAAAGAGGTCAATTAAATTCAACGTTTCAAACCCAAAGTAAATTTGCTATCATACCCTTCATTTTGTTTCTCCAACTCTATCCAAGCCCAAAGTACCAAGTCTTTGTTGGGCTTCTTCTTTGATTAGTCCCAGGCATTAAGCTTTTGGATGTTTTAGGAAAATAGTCCTAATGCAAAGATGTTCATCCATATTCATATTCTCAACCTTCAAGTAATGTTTCAATAAAAATAAAAATATAAAAAAATGTTCTTGTAGCAATACTTACTTTAATTCTCTCTTTGTAGGATAACAATATCTCAGAACCTTGGATTCCTAGGCCTAAGTTACAGTTCTCCAATTCTTGTGTGTGCCATGGGCCTAATGATCCCAACGTTTTCCTTCCTGCTCTCCATCATTCTCAGGTTAATTCTTCCCTCAACTCAACTTGTTCCTTTCATCATCTAGTGTTTTAATTTTTTTTACCATTAAAGAGAGAGAAAGGTGCTGCTTTAAATTAACCCAAATTATCTCTACAGAAGGACAAGGCTAGATTGGAGAAGCTCAAGCTTCCAGGCCAAAGTAAGTGGGACAATAATATCAATCATTGGGGCAGTAGCGGTTGAATTCTACAAGGGTGCATATATAAGAACATCTTCAGTTTCTTCTTCACCTGGGAAGCAACTTCCAGTCTTAGCACAGAAAGCACTTTTGGTCTTCTCCTCAGAACCAACAGAACATTGGGTTGTGGGTGGCATTTTACTGGCATCTGCTTCTTTATCTGTCTCAGTATGGAACATCATTCAGGTAATTAATTAAGGGCTCATATGGGAGTGATTATGGATAGACGAATAATCACTTCTCCATATAATCACTTTAATTTCCTATACTTGTGTTTTTTGTCCTCTTGTTTTTACTTGTTCAATCTCTAATTGGTTACTTAGCTGGGAACCATGAAACTACATCCGGAAGTGGAAGCAATGGAAGTGGTAACTTTTTATAGCTTGCTTGGGACAATACAGAGCGCAATATTGTCCTTGTTCTTAGAAAGAAACCCAAGTGCTTGGAGATTAAAACTCAACATGGAGCTCCTTCTCATTATTTTAACAGTAAGTAATTAATTAGCACATAACATAGCTTTTAATTAAGTTGATCAACTTCGCTGTATGTCATCACAAGACTTTGCATATATGCTCTGTTGTAGGCAATTTTTGGGGGTCTAGTTCGAAGCCGGGTTCACAATTGGTGCATGAGCATAAAGAGTCCATACTATGTACCGCTGTTCAAGCCATTTGGGATTGTTTTTGCTACCATTTTTGGTGTCAGCTTATCTGCAAACAGTCTGCATTATGGAAGGTAATTTATTAGAAATTTGTCTTCCAATCTATTTACTCTAGACATATAAGAACTTAAGGCAGAGCTCAAGGGCTAAATGCTAACCAAATTAAACACATTGGTTTCCTTTTTAATTTTGTTTTTGCAGTGTGATAGGATCAGTAGTAATAGGAATGGGGTATTTTGTAATATCATGGGGACAAATCAGAGAAGATGAAGGGCAGCAAGACCAACAATGTGTTGATGAGAGGCTGGAACCTAATTCTGAGAGGAAAGTCCCTCTCTTGCAAGAAGAAAATAATGTATAGATTAATCTCAAACAGAAGGGAAAGCTTGAGCCTTGAGAAGAAAGAAGGCTCCTAGCATTCTCACTTGTAAGTCTCAAACTCAAATTGCATATCAGATCATTTTGTACATATTCATTGCCTTTACCTTTCGTCTGATACATTGTAGCATATATATGTGCAGGGTTTCGAGATCATTTCATCAAGCTTTATATCTGATAATTACAAGGGAACATGCATCATTCTTTTTTTCTTTTTCTTTTTTGTGAATATGGTGATGATGGTGGTATGGTCTATATTTTGTACCTGAATGTTATTGGATAATGTGAGTGTATGGAAAGAAAAGCAATGAAATTATTGCAAAGGGTGTCTTAAATTCATCCTTTTTCTGTCTTGTTAGTGTTATGATTTGTTTGAATGTAATTAACTGATGTTAGAGTTTTGACAAAAACCGTTTTACTGAAGTGAAGAAAGTGATGATTGTCTTGACAAAAATGATTTGTACGATGATGGGTTTATTATGAGTGATTTTCAGGTTCAACATTTGATCCACATTGGATGTCATGAATCTTGAGCATCATAAATATCATATCATATCATATCAGACCCAAGTTTTGTTGTGCGGAAACACTCCAAGACATTGTCATTGATAGATTATGCGACGACACACACACAAACCCCTTTTGAGAATAAAACACACGCACACCGAAGAGAAAAAAACAAACACACAAGAACACAAAGATTTATAGAGGTTCGGCCTCGTGCCCATGTTCTCTTGGTGATCCACCTGAGAAATTCACTAGTATGTAAAAACAATTTTGGTTAAAACTTGAACCCGCTTAGCTCTCACATGAACCTTAGCTCTCTTTTCTCTCACCCTTGCTTAAACCCATGATGCCCTTGAAAACACCCTAGAATTCCTTCTTGAATTCTCTTATATCTCTCTCTTATAAATTAACCTAGCCCTAAAAGTCCTATTTATAATGCATAGGACTTTTGCTACAAGTTACCTAGGAGTAGGAAACTAAAACCGTATTAAATTAGGCTAGAAAACCCCAAAATAATAGGAGAACCTCGTCAAAACACGCCTAAACATCAAACATACGCCCGACACTATTCACGAGGCGACCGGTCTACATGAATGAGCGACTTGTCTTTGGAGACAAAGACGCCAACAAGAGCATCGGCCAAAACCGACCGGTCACATGGCCAAAGCGACTAGTCGCCTACTGCGTTGTTGCCT